AGTGCCTGCGGCGCTGTAAGCAGGGTCTGCCCGCCTTCCGCCAGGCCCAGCCCGGCCGCGATGTGCTCGAGGAGTTCCAGCGCCGAGAGCCCTACAAGTACCTGCAATTCGCCTACTTCAAGGTGAGATCCGGCCTTTCATCCCTCTTCCTATCTCTCTACCCTGCCTGCGGTTCCCTGCCCCGGCGTCGACTCCCCGCGATCTCCTCTGCTGCTGTGACACTCTCCAGCCCAGCCAAGTGTGCCTGTCGGCGACTCCTAGAGGTGTCGTGGCGGAGGGGGTCCTTAGTGGACCTGGCTGCCTCATAGACCCAGTGCCCGATGCTGTAAGAACCTCCTCTCGCTGTGACCTCTCACCTTGCCCTTCACAGTACTCCAGGATGTAGCTTCACTCCCCATCACCTCCTCCACGCTGCTTCAGCCATTGATTGCCAACCACTCCACCTCCATTTCTTCTCCCAGGCTGCCAACCCTGCACATCATCATCATCTCCCCAGCAAGTCTTTCAGCCCCTTCCTCCCACCCACTATGTGCAACTCACAGTGGGACAGACAGCTGTGGGTCTTGTCCTTCCCCCTGCTTGCCCACATCGTACTGTCCAGCTCACTCTTCACCAGTTTTCTCACAACTCATCCAGCACCACCCCTCCATTAGCCCCTCCAGTTCTTTAGAAACCCCCAGCCACTGGGCCCTGCCTCCTTGGCATGTAGTTGTGCCGTTCTTACCTCTGCCCCTTCTGTCTTTCAGTCCACCTTACTTTCATCTAACCTTTTCTGAAATCTTTTCTAGACCCTTTGTGTCACTGCTCTGATGTTGCAAGCACTCTTTGCTGCTTCCTCTCCTTCAGCATGTCCATCTTCCTTCCTTGCTCTCTTCTGGTCCAGTCCTTTCAAGTACAGCAGCCCTCAATTTGTGACTTGCAGATAGCCTGATGCCTTTGAAACTCTGGTTTTGTTACAGCTGCAGGAAGAAATAAAGTGAAAATTGCCTGCTCAAGTGTGACACTAATGCAGGCCCAGGAATGGTATTTACTTTTTGCTCTTGAGTCAGCCAAGTCTGAGAACACACACACTCCTTTTGACAGATTTCATCCCATTTTTCTAGCTTCTTGTCATCCTTCTCTCCAGGATCTAATTGACGATTTTCTCCTTCCTTCTCATCTTCATCTTCTATTCTCTAAATCAAGGTCTGTCCTTCATGCCATCCCCTCAGATACTATAATTATTTGCATTTCAAATAAATGAAACCATCTGTGGGGGGAGACAAGCCAAACTCTTTGATTAGACTGTTCTCTTTTTTAGGGTTGTATTCTCGTGCATTGTTTTTGAGATTGCTGCATGAAAACGCGTATCTTCTTAACTGTTGCTGTTTCTCATTTGTAGGAGTGCTGTTTTCTCATGAGCATAGCCAATAGTTTTCCCATATGGCACAAACAGAAGCAAGGAAATGTGTTCTCCTCAAACAGGAGCAGTGTCCACGTGCACAGTGTGACAGTAGCATAATTCTGCTCATTTAAAGCCATACCTAAGACCGTACAGAAGAACTTGCCTTTATCCATTAAAGCCTCTGCACACACAGACCAAGAGGTATCAAACAGGGGGCATTATTTTTCAAGAGGAGAGTGGGCAGGCACTGTTCACATTCTCAAAGCCATATACAGATACCAAAATGACATCACCACAAATGTTTTCATTTCTTGTCTTACTTACTTTAACTATTTATTCACCCCCTGTGGTACATACCAAGTTTGCGTTGGATCGATCACAGCAAAAATCATTCCTTCTTAGCATTTCTGACACAGTTAAACACCAGGCAGGTGAGGAATTTGAGAGGGAAATTGGAGAAGCACCTCCCTCTGCCTTTAAACTGTTTTTCAATAGCATTCACCATAGGTTTGTGTGGTGCAGTTTGCTGGCTTTGCCTGTAGAGTCAGTTGTTTGTATTGCTTTTGTGATGAGATTGTAGTCCAGCTCTGAGGTCTTCCTACTCACTTGGGGAGGTCTAAATGAGCCTTCTAGAGGTACAAACTGCTGCGTACAAAGGACTTTTTCCTGGCTGCTGGTTTTCTGAAGAAAGGAATGTCACTTCCCCCACCCCCTCCACTCTGCCAGCAGCATTTCTAATATAGGAAGATGGCGGAGGGAAACGCTTTATGTCATCTTTTAGAGTGACCGTGTGTTTATTCAGGTGGGGTGAG